AATGCTGTTAAAAACTGTCACTAGTAAACCACGAGTCATTTGGCTAACAGCAAACCTAACTTGATAATACAGTTATTATATGGTATTAAATAATAAGTAAAGCACTTGAAAATTTTACCATTTGATCCAAAAGTTGTTTTTTTCTTGACATTGTAAAGCTATGAGATCACAAGAACATGACTGGTCAGTTGCAATGTTGATCCCAGATGATGCAGGAACAACACCGACACGAGGTTATGAGATACCCCTGTTCCAAGACGATTTCTAGTCCTATTGAGGTCTAAGGGAAAATGACCCCCAGACATGGCCTCTAAAAACTTTCCTGCTGTGTTTATGGGCTCAGCCCCTCATATCAGGTCATACCAGATAAAACACTGAGTCAGTTTTGTAAATTATGGTCATTTTAAGTCTCGGAAGGATTATTAGGATCTACTCATTGACTAATTCCTCGTTAACCACTGAGTGTTTGCTTTCACACTGACATCCAATCCTCTCTCTTAACCTCCAGTTTCAAAAGACCAAGACAGTGATGACAGAAATGCTTAAAGTAGGAATTCAGACACATATGGGTGATGTTGTCTTGTCTGCGGTTAGCGCTGAGGTGGCCTGCAGATGGACATATTGACTAATATGAAGTAAACAAATGAATTAGATAACAGAAACGTCCTTTTTACAGGTTACAATTAAAAGATTAGCATAAAAAAAATTCACCCAAATCTTACATTTTGCTAACTGTCTGATATGCACGTTTACACAGGTCACTGATAAAACCTGTTGCATTTGAATCACGTTAAAATGTAGTATGTAATATCATATATGGCATTGATGAGCTGTTTTGTCACATAATGTTGCTTGGATCAGAGCTGTTGGCTTCACATTATAATACACTGGCCCCACATTCCCTTCACTTTTTAGCGTGCAGGGGGATGAGAGGTGACGTGACCTCCAGGGAGTGCGTAACCAACTCTATGAGATAATTAAGGATTCTAAAAATCATAAATCTTGCAACACTACTCTAGTGTACTAGTGACCTGCAAATTAGCATAATAAACACTCTTTATACTTGACAGCTAAGCGAATTATCTGCAGGCTCCAGCTACATTGTTAAGAGATTGATCTTGTCATCTGTCATCAGTTCACTAAGAAAGTGCATTGCCCAAAATGTCAAACTGTTCCTTAAATGTAGATATGCAATACACCGTGGAGCTTCCAGGATTTATAACATTGTTTGTTTGTTTGTTTTCTGACACTGAGCCTGAGCTATGTTCCTGCTACTGTGTGTAATAGCTAGCTGATGTTATCATCTGTACAGACCACCACGCATGCACAAAACTCTGTGTTGTCATTTTCTTCACCATTTGTGCGAACTATAACCTTCCTGTAATCCTCCAGCTTGACAGTAAGTCAATCATACTGAAGATAATCTAGCTATAACTGTTTATTTTGTAATCCTCACTCAATCAGGTGTTCAGATTGTAAACTGCCATGTAACTGTTTCGGGGCTCACTCTGGTTTCAAAGTAGACTGTGTAAATGCAGCTGTTCAGCATGTTGGATTTTGGCAGGTGCATGATTCTGTGAAATTTGTAGCTGTTTGTCTGAATGTGCATAACTGTATTTTCTACTCTCCGTGTCAAACAAAGTGAAATAAACTGGACAAGAGGGAAAATGCAAGTCTTCTGTGCTGCTGTACGCCTGCGGTTTGACCAGCAGGTGGCACTGTGGGAGAATTTATGAAACGTGCATTAGACTTCAACTGTGAACAACTAATGTATATATATATGTGTGTATAGAATGACTTATTTAATTATTGTTTTTTTCTAAAAAGGACATGAGAGGATTTTTTTAAAAGAGGATTACATTAAATTGAAGGGATTCTATGACACACTGGAAAATTCTCCTCCACTTCAGGTTAAACGTATAGTATTTCCATATGTGTAGCGCTGAAAGGCCATCTGTCTGCTGTGTCTTTCAGTCTCTTTCACTCTGTGTGTGTGTGTATGTGTGTGTGCAGTGCTGATTATGCAAATAATCATTAGACAATTGTACCAGGAAGTTTCACTAAGAAAGAAAAATCCCCAACCAGTTCCTCATTCACTCATTGGTATAACTGTCCAGGTCGGCCAGCTGACCCACTTGTCAAACCACCTCAACACCAACGCACTGCATGTGTCACCCACTTCCATGTCAAGCACAGAGAGGACGTAGCTGAGGAGTGAAGCGGTTCTACATTTTGGATTAACCGTTTTCTTAACCAAGGATACAGACTGAGACAGGTAAGCTGTAATGTCCAAGTGACATCAGGCAGACGCATGCTTGGTTTACACAGACGCATTAGGAGAGGTAAACGTGTATGTAACTTTTTTATTAGTAGGAAAAAAGTAAATGTAAGAAGTTTTATGAAATTGGGTTTTTTTTGTTTTGTGTTTTTGTGGACGCTTTATTCATTAAGCACAGTCATAACTCACATTAAGTATAATTAGTTTAAGGAAAGTTCTCTACAGTGCAACATGTTTAAAATCAGTGCTTTATTTTCTATTATAAAAGTTTTATTCCTATGGTTTCATGTATGGTATAGCGACGGATTAAACATTAAAATTCACTGCATTTATTGACGTATCCAGACTTTTCCTCAGTCTATTGCAAAAGGAGGAAGTGTGTGTGTGTCATAGTCCAATATATCATGCGTGTGTGCCCCTAAGCCTTTCAGACCCCTAGTTTCCGGCTGTTTGCTGACAAGTTAAAAATATAACAGAGGCACTGAACCAACAAAGTGCAAAACAAGCCTGTGCAAACCTGCCAAACCGCTGGCTAATGCATTCACTGACCTTTTTCTACCAAGAAAAATATGGTTTTGCCTTTTTCTTTACATTTACTCCCTGCCATCTCAGTTCACAAATGTGTTGTAGGCTGGTTTTCAGGTGTGCTTGTTTTCTATTTGCATTAGGTTAATGGTGTGTTTCCCCCCCTACTCAAACAACTTTATTCAGCACTCAGTCCTTCCACATGAATATAAGATATTAACTATTTTTAACGTTATATGGTAGGATAGGTGTGCTTTGCTATCACCGGCAGCCTAGAAGCAACAGAAGTAAATGCTTTTAGCATGCAGAAAGCAAGGTTTTGGTGTTGCTAAAGAAAAACTTTGGTATCAGATCAAATATTTTCAGATGAACCCTATTGTTGGGGTTTGTCATATTTTCTTCCCTAAAATGTACTACCTCACTATTACTGATAATAATGTTATCAAGTCAAAATTTCATTTAAGCTGTTTGGCTTGGTCGAAAACCTAATATGCCTCAATATAATAATCTAATAATATTTCTGCCAGCCTAAGCAGTGCTTTCTCCAATTAGCATACGTACATTAGCATGCTACCATATGCTAAAGGTGACTAAAAATCAACATGTTAGCGCCAGTATGAAGAGCATGTTAGCTAGCACCAAAAAAACAAAACAAAACAAAAAAACAACCCACGCTAATTCATTTTTTGTGGGGGTTTTCTTTCTTGTTTCATCCTGTTTTATTTTCTGACTGCCCTGACACAATTCACCGAAGAACATCTCATCTCCTTAGAACTTCTGTTCTAGCTTTTTAAAAATTTTAAAAGGCTATTTGCTGACCTACAGGACTAGTTGAACATGTTCCCCTTTTCTCTGCGGTTCAGCTGTGCACTTTAGTTTCCTGGAGAAGGACAGAAGCTTTTTATTTATTTATTTTTCCGTTGTACTTTGAATAACAGATGTTAAAAACCAACGTGCACTTCTGCTCTACAGCAACATGCTTTGTTCTTTTTTTCCCCTTTTTTTCCCTGTAGGGAAGCACTCAAAGTTTATTTGACCTGGTTTAATTTTAGTGCTTTATATTTTTGTGCTTTTAAGCCACATTGCTTGACAATCTAAGTATAAATGGTTTTAAAGGTGGTGTTTCTCACGCTCATAGGAAGTTTAGTTTTAATTTAGACAGTTACTCATATATAAAAAATCCTTTTTATGTTCACACATTACCTTTGTAAAATATTTTCATTGTTAAACCCAAGGTACAAATATCACTTTGTTTGTCCTTAAAACTACAATATAGGAGATACATACTTTTAATGTTTTTGACTTTTATATATTTTAAAAGTTATAACACCTCTCTCTCATAAAAACCAACATCACCAGTTAAAAAGATGTTGTTTTTTCTTTGCGACTTTGTCATCTTTGTGGGCATGTGGTCAGTATGTGTGCATGTAGAAAGCAAGTGCACATTGGTGGCGGTGGGCTTCATGCTGGTTAGCAGACAGCTACCCACACAAAAGTCAAAAGAAGAAAAAACAATGCAGCAAACTGCAGCAATACATGTTTGATTTTCCTGAACAGAAACCACCATTGGATAAATTGCAGCCATGTCAGAATACAGAGAAGCAGCAGTAACATTGCAACATATTTTTTTCTAAAGAACTACTTTGAGACATTCACATTTTTATTGAATTTTTGTTGAGTTACTGCTGTAACTCAGTTACTCAACTCAACAAACGTAGAATTTTTCACCTGAAATATTAGAGTTTGTGTAAGAAGTGCCATGGCTAATGACATTTAGACTACTGGAAACATTGGTTACCATGGTGTTGCTGAAAGTTAGATTAAAAGACTGTTACCAGTTGTAATCTTGTTAAATATATAGCTGAGTCCAGCAAGTCATTAGTCTAGCTTAGCATAAGCTTTAATGGTGAAAGAGCTAGCTTGGCTCTGCCAGAAGCTTGAAGGTGGCATTCAAAGCTCACAAATGAAGATATGCATTTTGGACTTATATGTATTTTAAACCCACCCAGGTCTGATATAAATGATACAAAGCGTGTGCTCAGTCCAGAACCTGTGCATGTAAAACCTCATCAGGTCTTGTAAGACGCTGATGCTATGGATATAGAGGCAGAAGTAGCAGAATGTCTCATTCAAGTCTATTTTGGCTACACTGCATCATCAATTCCTCCCTGTTCTGCTTCTCGTTTTTACTGAAAGCTCTTTTCCTGAAAGTTGCAAAGACAGCAGCAGCTTACTTGGTCACTGAAACATCCCTAAAAACAGAGCAAGAAATTAAAACGCATTGTAGACAGAACAATCTGTGTTTTGAGCAAAATGGTGAAAAAAAACACCCATTGTACTGGACATACTTCCCCATATAAATATGATAAAAGTTGTTTTTTTTTGTTTACACCTTTTGATGTATGATAGAAAGAGTATTACTCAGCAATGCATACCTTTGCACCCCTATTATGTTAACAATCCAGTTAGCGGTCAACATCATTATTTTTATATTTCTGGTGCTAAGTGGTGCTGCACCTTTCCTGTGACATTCCCATAAGATGTAAATCAGAGTGCAGTATAAAAGTTAGTGCAGTCAGTGGTGTGGTGCGGCTGGACAGCATGAACAATCACGCCACATTCACTTATAGGTCCTGATGTGGTTGGTGTTAGTGTGTGCGACTGCGAACTGCAAAGCTGCAGCCGCGTGCAAGGACAGCAACGGTGATAATAAAGATGCTGAAAAGCATGAAACCGAGGACGGGTCTGCCGTGGAGTTATTACAGTTACATTTGCACATGTGCAGCAGTTTGTTTTTGTGAAACCACTTCTTATTATCGCTTCTTGTTATCTTCCCTTTTATGTTGAACTTATAAATAACACTGGAAACATGACACCAGTTTCACATATAAGAACTGAAGAGTCACAGGTGTCTGCTGCCACACTTTTTATACGCTTTGTGTTTTTTCAGCAGGTGTAAATGGTATATTTGTAACAGCTTTCTTCTCTCTTTCTTTTTCTCACTTCCTCGTGCAGACAGAATGGGCTGCATGAAATCCACGCTAAATCAAGGTCTGAGCGGAGGTGTGGACCAAAAAATGGGTCAACATGCTGTCCATTCTGAACAGTCACGCTATGTTAGAGACCCCACCTTTAATCCAAAAGTCAACAAGGTAAGTAGTAAGACTTGGGTGGACCTTACACTCAATCTCAAGTGTGGTTGAGTGTTAACAGCAACAAAATCGTTAGATAACAAAAAGTCAAATCATAAATGGAAAGCATGCAATTGTTTTCATTCAATCAAAAATTGACTTATAATCGTCATGTGGTTTTTTCGTCATTATTGTATTGTATGAAGAACAGAATGATTCAGTTTTCTTTACATATTGCATCAAAGATATGACCTTTCGTTTTGTTTTTGAAAAAAGTTGCTCAATGTTTCCTGCCTAATAGAATTTTCCATTTGCAAAAGATGACATCTATTACAAGGAAATGACAAAAGTCTGTGCAAAAATCTCTATGTAAATAATGTCTGCCTTAAAATAATGGAAGTAATGATGATAGAAAGACACTGTGTAACTTTAATATTGTTTCCTTTTGCAGAATAACTCACTGTTACCGGGTCAGGTGTTCCAAAAAATGGAGGGTACGACCCTTTCTTCCTTGTTTTTTGTTTATTTATCTGCTGTCTGTTCATTGTTTCGTACTACTATACTGTACTTCTGGTAACACCTGTATGTGGTAGCTTCTAAGGTAATAGGGAATTCACTCACCTCAAAGTATGTATAGTGAAACAGTTAGGCCCCAGAAGTCCTCATAGTCATGAAAGACAAAATCTTCATCTTCATCTTGTTAGTGTTTTAACTTTGACCCATTTTGAGATTTCACAAGCAAATTTTGACTGATTCAAGGTTTATTTACTAATTTAGCAAGTTCACTAAGAAAATTATTCTAAAGCTAAACTTTAGAATAAATAAACCAGTCAAATATATGAGTATAGGTTAAAATAGAAAGTAATCTTAGTTATGATAGGAGATCCTTATAGGAAGGCTAGTCACTACATTTGACGTGTAAACCATGTAATTTTCCGCATTATATTAAAACTCTTTTATCTTAGCAATGTACACAAAGGCGTTTAAGTACATCCAACTAAGTTGCAATTTAAACATAAAGTTATCATTAGTCATTACTGATTGAGACTACAGCTACTTATAAGTAGGTTGAGTAAACTGATAAGCTAGGTGCATGGCCTATAATTGCTTCTGTCTGATGTTTCTGTACATGTTGTCCCCTGGGTCTTTACATAGTTTAAAAATAGAACAACCTTTGTATTGATGTATGAGCCTATTTGCATGTGTTTAATGATGACAATTTTCTCTTTCCTATTTCAGAACAAAAGGGGGTGGGTAAAATAGTGATTGCCCTTTTCCCATATGAAGCTACACATCCCGATGACTTAGGATTCAAGAAGGGAGAAAAGATGAAAATTCTAGAAGAGTGAGTGTCTGGTATTTATGGTACACTGATTCATTCTCAGAAAATGTATCATCATTTCTACAAATGGCAAGAATCACTTCCACTTTTATATATAGCCCCCCAGTTTTAGATAGACATCCTTTTACATATAAAGATTATTTTTTACTATTTGAATAAAAATGCTTTGTAGTCTGGATTTTTAATCAGGGGCTAGAAAGTGAGAGCGTATTTCTCTTCATTGGCTCTCTGTTTAATGCCGATCTAAAATTCTTCTCCTCACATAGAAAGTGCTGGACGATCAGGTCCTGTCTTATGTTAAAGACCTCATCGTACCACATCATCCCAGTAAAGCACTTTATTGTGGTTCTTAGAATATTTAAAAGTAGAATGGGAGGCAAAGCCTTCAGCTTTCAGGCCCCCTGTCTCCCTCTCCTCTCCCCCAGTCAGTCAGATGGCTTCTCTCTTCACTAACTCAAAAAATTCAAAGCAAAAAATCCCCAAATTTCTTTTTATTCTTTTTAATCATGGCCTGGTTCCTTCCTTCTCCATATTTGGTTTCTTCTGTCCAAATTTTGTTTAGCTTTTGTGGCAAGCTTAATCTAGCCCACCGGTGACACTCCCTGAGTGTTCTGAACCCCTCTATATTTTCATTTAGAAAGCCATTTCTCAATTGCAGACTATGACAGTGATACAAATATCCTCACTGCGTGTTCTTCTTGACTTGGTTGTGAAGCTATTTTTCTTAACCACGGGAACAATCTTTTCAGCATGCACTTAATTTGGGATTTAGCCATTGCTAAAGTTTTGTGCCATCTCTCGTATAGAGGCTTATTATGTTTTTTCAGACTAATGATGGTCTCTCTCACTTGCAAAGACATCTCTTTTGGCCTCATAGTTGAAATTACAGTGACAAAATATAAAAGTTTAACTTGGTGAATCAATTTCAGGTATTATGTCTTCTTCCTCTGT